TTTAAGGTTTTTCCTATGCATAATTCACTTTCCAAACCAATTCCAGATTAACCTACACATTGCTCTAAAAATATGAAGACCAAACATCAATGGGTGATGCGCGGCGCATCTTGGACGGTGAGGGCGTCGAGGAGAGTTGAAGGCTGCATCCGAAAACTCTAAAATGCTGCCTCCGGAGGCAGCATTCCAAGACAGGAAGGCATCAAGGCATTACTTCCTGACATTGCTTTACTTCCTGTCTCCGCAGGTACCTTCTTCTGATCGAATTTTGAAGGCAGCATAGATGTATCCTTCGCTGCCTTTGATATCCCACAATCCTGTGTGTTCTCATTCCGTGACGGTTGAGCTAAAAAATAAAGATGGCGTCTGAAAGTTGCGTTTGGTGGTCAGTTTGTGTGTAAATGTATATTTCTGACTAACTTTTTGCACTTTTGATGTTATTTCTAGAGAGAAATCAGTATTATAGTAATTAAATATTTGTTTAGATATCACAAAAACTCGTTCTATTTTGTTGTAGATCATTAAACCGTTACACTGCATCAGAAGCCTGTCTGAAATTAGTTTCATGAGGTGCATTTGTGCAAAAACGCTGCCTGCAAAGTCATTGCCTCATATGGCAGCGAGGCAGCAAGTCAGCTGCCTAAGTTTTCGAACGCAGCCGAAGTCAGGTCAACTTTATGGTAATGAGCTATGACGCGGTTGGGCAGCAACCAGTCGGAATGTAGAAGTCCTCCTCTTGAGAGGATTCCAGAGAATGCAGTCCTGTAAACTTTGGTTCCGACCACATTAGTTCCCAAGCATTTTCATGCTAGAATGCATGTTTTTCAGCGCGAATGCAATTCATTTGCTCAAAACAACACCGATTTGACCAATTGCATTTAGGCTACACTTCAACCAGGACAGTTTGTAATGTAGGCTGCGCACAAATTAATGTTAATGTTAATTAAATACCAAGGCTAGTAAAAGTCTCCTATAAACTGCATGTTGAAATTAGATTAAGTTAGCACTTAACCATGAACACAAAAACACACCAAACAAATGGCTTTTATTGGTTTATTTTGTTAGCAAACATGTAACTATAATTAAGTTCTTTCCATTTATCAATTTCTTACTTACATTTTAAATATTTCATGAGGTTAACTTAAAAGTTACTTGTGGTCAGTCTGCACAAGATCAACATGCTTGTTTCCTTTGCGGCTCCGTTAAATACAAGACCAAGCGTTCGATCATCAGAGCGCCCACGAATCTTTCTACAGCGTTGTTGGCAGGGCGGCCAGAGCGAATTTTGACGCTCTCGCTGGTGGTGGTGTGAACCCACTCAGCAATAATGTTGTAGCACCCCAACTAACAAAGCCTATAGGTGGGCCTTAGATAATAGCTTGAGTCCTAACTCCCCTCAGCATTTTGGGACTCCAGTAGAACCGCCTCAAGTGTCTGTGATTGAGCCCCTGGCTTCCTTATAACTCCAGACACCGCTAGAAATGTGTAGGAGAGTGATGTGGCCATTCCAATAGTCACTGTGATGACTGCACTAGCATAGCAAGTAGAGATGACATCACTAGTCTTTGAACTAACACGTTTAGCACTTTCCACCTGCAAAATAGCAGATTTAAGTGCTATAAAATAGACAAAGGACACAATATTCTTAATATTTCTGTAAGCTGATTCTTATATTCTTATTGACTGGAGTGTAATGGATAAAATACATTAAATGCTCTCTCTCTCTGTTTAACTGTATGTATATTCATTATACAACAGTTCGTTCTGGTTCTCAAATCTGATTGGTTGAGAACCGTGAGACATTGTACTGGTATCGCTGTAATGTTTTTAAATTATTTTATTATTATTGAAATTGTTTGTAATAGCTATATTAGAATAATATAAAATCTAAATAAACAAAATCCCGTTGTTTTTTGTTTAATTACACACATGTTACACACGTTTCCGTCGAACTGTTGTATAAACGCAATATCACTCGAGTACGAGAGCGATACCGGCTCTATATCAGCGGCTAATCACTGGCCTAATCACAGCCATGCTGATATAGAGCCGGTATCGCTCTCGTACTCGAGTGATATTGCTCATGTATCCCAGACGTACAACTTAATTCTGTTTAACGTATGTATGTACTATTATGCCTCTGAAATCTGTCTTTACAAAGTGCAAAATAACATAGCAATTACTCTTACTTAATGAGTCCTATCAATAAAGACTCATTAAGTTTGAATTTCAAGTAGCATACAAGCATTTTACTCTGGAGCCATAGGCATAGTGTGCTATTCCAAATTCAGTCCCTTGCTGCGTCCCAATGTGCCTATACTACACCCTTAAAGTATGTACTTATTTTGGTGAAGAAAAAGTACACACTTTTGGTAGCTATCACATTATACAATGTCTCTGTCGCATAGTTACACACACCCTTTCACTGTAAACTGGCCTGTCAATCATCTTGTCACAGAATGATGCATTTAAAAGTTAAAGACCAAACGGATGTTTATCGGATGGACACACTTATTAGCCTGCGTCTCAATGTTCATACTATCCATCCTAAATAGTATGTGAGATTAGAATAAGTGTGTCCCAAAGCATATGTTGAAAAGAGTAGGCCTATGCCAAAAGTCCCCGGATGGTCTACTATTTCGGGTCGATTTTTGAAGTGTGGATCCGTGCACACTCTAATGGCTAATATTGCCCACAATCCATTGCGCTTTGGCGAAGGATTCGGTCCAGAACTACAAACACGAATAAAACGCGTTATGATAGTATGTCCCAAAGCTTGCCTACTCTTCTACTACACACTCAAAAGTGTGTACTTTTTGTTTAACCAAAGAGTACATACTTTAAGGGCGTAGTATAAGTAGGCACATTGAAACGCAGCAAGTGTCTGTGCATGGATCCACTTCAAAAATCGACCTGAAATAGTAGACCATCCGGGGACTTTTGGCATACTCTTTTCAACATACTGTACTTTGGGACACACTTATTCTAATTTCACATACTAATGAACATTGGGACGCAGGGTAGGCCTATGCCTTTAAAATCCAATTTTTTGAAGGCAGATTAGTGCCATCTGGTGGGAGTAAAAAAAGAAAAACATCTGAAATTTCATGGTTTAGCCACTAGATTCCTAGCTCTATGTAAAAGGCTTATAAATTCTCTAGTTGTTTTTAGACGTAAATACTTTTTATTAAGTTGTGGATTTGGATAAATAGTCATTCTCAAAGACAGCTTTTTTTTTAAAGATTTGGATTTTTTTCTTTAAAATGTTGGTTTGAAATGTCAGTTTTTGCATTAACTACAGTCAAACCTGAACACAAAGACATTTTGTTACAAATAACATCAAAATTCAACAAAAATTTAACACAAATTAACAGGAATGCTTTATCAGAGGTTAATCAATCTGATTTCAGCCTGTCTTCTGGCTCAATTTTGCCATGTTGTTACAGCCACACCAGTTCATTTGTGTGCTGTGTGTCTGTTTTGTACTCTTGATGTTTTAGAGTGTAACCCCTTCCTTGGTGCTTGTTTTTACTGCAATTGTGGCTGAATTATTGATTTTATTTCACACATTTGCAAAAACATGCTTTGTGTTACATTCACACTAATTCATTTAAGTGTCTATTTTGCACTCTTGATATTTTAGTGTCACCCCTTCATTGTTGTGCAGTTTTTTTTTTCTGCATCATGAATGATTTGTAGATTGTACACTAAAAAAATCTCTGTATTTTCGTATTTTTGCGTATTTCCAATTCATTTCCAATAGTGCTCAATTTTGACGCAATCAACACAAGTGTGACAATTTTTTTTTATGTCCATTTAGCTTTTTCAAATCAAGTCCACGACTCACAACTTTTTTTTTTTTTTGTGGTCGCATAGCAATTGACAAAAGTAATCGAGTTTCAAAAAATTTTTTTTTCTGGTCTAAAATGACCGAACAACAGAGGTTTAATTAAACTGTCGCACTAGCAAGCACAGATCCACCCGGGAATAAAAATAATTTAAAATGAATCATAATACACCATCCGGACATCTGTGTTTTTTGTGGTCACATAGCAAATTGACAAAAGTAATCGAGTTTCAAAACATTTTTTTTTTCTGGTCTAAAATGACCGAACAACACCAGAGGTTTAATTAAACTGTCGCACTAGCAAGCACAGATCCACCCGGGAATTTTCTGGTCTAAAATGACCGAACAACAGAGGTTTAATTAAACTGTCGCACTAGCAAGCACAGATCCACCCGGGAATAAAAATAATTTAAAATGAATCATAATACACCATCCGGACATCTGTGGAATACTCATTCCAAACATATTATGATTTCTAATTCTAATGTCAGGTAGGCCTATTTACTCTTTAGGGTATAAAGTATGCGGATTATGGCCCACCCAAATGCTCTGTTTTAATATGTAATCTGTTTCCAAATGTAAAATATGTTGAATATGTCAAATATGTAAACACAGGAAAGAAAACCGTATTAGCAAATTATTTACAAAAAAATAATTAAAAGTTAGTGATGGGTTACTTGGATTGCTTTGGGTAGAGGAAATTAGAATTTAAGTACAAAGTGTTTCAAGTAAATTTAAATTTGTTAAATGTACTGCAAGTGTGTTTAACAAACCATACATAAAATGACCATACTAGCTATTACTGAAATATCAAATCAACTACATTCTAATAAATTTGCAAAGCATTTAAATGTGCCCTGCCTGACATACTTACATTTTAGAACCTTTTAAATATCAAGTTATTTTAAAGCATACAATTTAACCTACATGAAAGTTAACTTGACCATGTATAAAACGTTCCAAACTATTTTAAACTCCCCCAAAACTTCAAAGAAAACACAAAGATTTTTATTATAATCACAGAGAATTTAATTGAACAATTGAAATGAACATATGTAGTGGCTTCAGGTCAATCATTAACAATAGCCTTCAGACACATTAAATGCTGGTTAAGCTTTTACCATACAAAGACCTTCTTTTGAAGACAATTTATTTTCCTTTAAACATAATTTTAAACCTATATGGCTTATGACTTCTCTATTTAGAAAAAAGTAATTAAAAACTCACCTGTATATACACGAATACATACATATTTACATGTCTTGTTTTATTCTTAACTGTGAAGTTTTCCATATTTTTCTTTAAAATAGAACTACAGGGAGAGTGTATGTTGTTCTGACAAAATTATCATCACATAAGAAGTACGCCTGAAGATGTTATCAACATCAAGGCCTTGTAAATAAAAAGCATAAAATATTCAGCAAGAAAAGAGTACAAAAGAGACCATCAAGCTCAACATTCAAACCCATGCAAATTTAGAAAGAAAAAAATTGTCAGTCAACAGTTAAGATGAATGACTTTCATGATGGGTTTTCAGATTCTGTAGACTTTGCCCTCGAGTTGTCAGATCTTTCTTTTTTGTCATCTTTCTTTTCTTTGCTCCTGCTTCTGTCCCGTCTGTCTCTGTCTTTGTCTTTGCCTCTGTCTTTGTCCCGTTCTCTGTCCCGATCTCTTCTGTCACGATCTTTTCCACGTTCTCGTTCACGACTCCTTGAGCGTTCTCTTCTCCTGTCCCTGCTGTCTCGATCTCTGTCACGGTCTCTTTCTCTGTCTCTGTTCTTTGCTCTGTCTCGGTCATGGTCTTTTCGGTCTTGCTCCCTCTCCCTGCCACGGTCTCTGTCTCGATCTCGGTCTCTCCTCTTGTCTCCATCTCCATCTCTGTATCGGTCAGACTCTCTGCCTCTACTGCGATCCCTCTCTCTACTGTGTTCGCTCTCCCTTTCCCTGCTGCGGCCCCGCTCCCTATCTCTTTCCCTGCTCCGGTCTCTTTCACGATCCTTTTCTCTACCCCGGTCATACTCATGCTCCCTGTTCCAGCCCCATGATCGTCCACCATGTCCACCTTCTCGATCTCGGTCTCTCCTCCTATCTTCAGACAAATCGCGCTGTCTCTCTTCAGATAACCTTGAGGAGGCATCTCTGTCACGTGAACCACCATCAAATCTACTCGGACGGTTATGTGGCTCTGAACTATCTCTGGTGGAACAGCTTCGCCTCCTCATTTCAGGGGAGTGCCGTCTCCAGTGGTCATCACGGTGGCTGTCTGGGCTGTGTCCACCTATACGGCCTTGTATTGTTATGGGACCTTCAGGAGGTGTCGGAAGCAGAGGTCCACGAACAGGTCTAACATCTCGAACATCACTTGGGGTATCATCGTTGTAGTTAAATCGTGCTGGCTGACCAACAGGTTCCTTATCATAATGTCCTGGTGGTGGACCTCTCGGGCCACCAAACTGCTGCACTGATGGTCCCCGATGCTTTTCAAAGTCTTGAGATGAAGTTCCCCGTGGTTCCTCAAATGATCCCTTCTTAAGTTGCAGCGCGTTGAGCTCTCTCGGCCACCGTACAAATGTTCTGTTTTAATATGTAATCTGTTTCCAAATGTAAAATATGTTGAATATGTAAAATATGTAAACACAGGAAAGAAAACCGTATTAGCAAATTACAAAAAAATAATTAAAAGTTAGTGATGGGTTACTTGGATTGCTTTGGGTGGAGGAAATTAGAATTTAAGTACAAAGTGTTTCAAGTAAATTTAAATTTGTTAAATGTACTGCAAGTGTGTTTAACAAACCATACATAAAATGACCATACTAGCTATTACTGAAATATCAAATCAACTACAATCTAATAAATTTGCAAAGCATTTAAATGTGCCCTGCCTGACATACTTACACTTTAGAACCTTTTAAATATCAAGTTATTTTAAAGCATACAATTTAACCTACATGAAAGTTAACTTGACCATGTATAAAACGTTCCAAACTATTTTAAACTCCCCCAAAACTTCAAAGAAAACACAAAGATTTTTATTATAATCACAGAGAATTTAATTGAACAATTGAAATGAACATATGTAGTGGCTTCAGGTCAATCATTAACAATAGCCTTCAGACACATTAAATGCTGGTGTGGACCTCTCGGGCCACCAAACTGCTGCACTGATGGTCCCCGATGCTTTTCAAAGTCTTGAGATGAAGTTCCCCGTGGTTCCTCAAATGATCCCCTGTGTTGAGGTGAACCACGAAATTGGTTTGGAGGTGGAAAATGCTGTCCCGACATTTCACCTGAAGGTCCAGGGGGTCCTCTTCGTCCATCAAAGTGGTTTGGCAGTGGTCCCCTAAAAGGAGGCCCTTGTGAAGGTATCTGGGGCTTCTCTATTCTGAACCACGAAATTGGTTTGGTGGTGGAAATTGCTGTCCCGACATTTCACCTGAAGGTCCAGGGGGTCCTCTTCGTCCATCAAAGTGGTTTGGCAGTGGTCCCCTAAAAGGAGGCCCTTGTGAAGGTATCTGGGGCTTCTCTATTCCCTGATGATATGAGTTTCCACCATCTTCAAATTGATCACCAGGCCCTCTTGACATATTAGATGGAGGGCCACGATCCCCAATGTTATGAAGTGGAGGTGGGCCTCTTGGCCCAGGGAAGTGGGATGGTGGTGGTGCTCTATTATCAAAGTGATTTGAAGGGGGACCAGGAAATGGTGGAGGTGGGCCCCTGGGTACAGAGAAGTTAAAAGGGGGTGGAGGCCCATTAAACCTTTGTCCATCGAAGCTGGGAGGTGGCCTGGGTGGTGGGGGCCCTGGAGGTGGGCCTCTTGGTCCGATATGCTGAGGGGGCAATGAATTCATGGAATTATCAAATATCTGATGAGGAGGACCTCTCTGACCCATTGGTTGGAATGGAGGTGGTCCTCTTGGTGTAAAATTTGGAGGCAGTGGACCTCTTGGAGCAGCATCAAACTGAGAACTGCTACCCCACTGATTCTGGAAAGGTGGATACGATCCAGGTGGTGGATACTGAGAATGATCATTATCCACAAGGGGAGGAAGTGGACCTTGCATTGGGGAAATCTGCATTGGCGGTGGTCCTGACATTGGAGGAGGGAGATGCATGCGTGGTGGAACAGCGATTGGTGGTGGGCCTTGCATGGGAGGTGGACCAAGAATAGGTGGTGGAAAAGACATTGGAGGTGGAATGTTAGCAGGGTTTGTTGTTGGTATGTGCTGTATATGGGAACTGTGAGAATCCATATAAGATGAGTTGTCTTGGATGACATCTTGTGGCACTCCTGAGTGTAAAGATGTAGATGAAGTACTGATTGTTGAAATGTTATAATATGTGGTTGTAGTGGTCTCAATAGGCTGCCCAATGGATGAAACTTGATCAGCTTTTAAAATACTGGCAGAATTAGGCCAAACCTCCTCAAAACTTTTGATCTCAGATTCAATGGGGTCACCCTTCGTTTTGGGTTCCTCTTCAATGTAGCTTTCAACTAACTCTGGGTCAATTTTTTCCCCTAGTAACGGAATAGAAACTTCTGTGCTCTTTGTATCAAGAAAAGGCACCTCTTCGCTCTCGCTTCCTTCCTCACTCTCACCCCTTTCCTCAGATTTGGATGCTTCTGGGTCCAGGATGGCAGACTGCACTGAATCTAAGGTGGCAGTGACTTGTGACAGGGGCATATCTGTGGTTGCAGAGGGTTCCTCTACTGATGTATCCTCGGTAGAGTCTAGCTTTGCAGTCTGTGTGTCTGCAACTGTGCATGCTTGTGTTGGTGATGTTTCTGTCACTGTACCTTGTTTTGGAGAGGTTTTGTCTGTGGTAAGAGAAGATTCCTCCTCTGCTTCTGTGGAATCATATGTCTGTCTTCTACTAGTAACTGCCTGTCTAGGGTCTCTACTCTGCCTTGGGTCTCTTCTCTGGTTAATAACTGGAGCGGCTGAAGTCTTTGCCACCAACTCTTCAACCTTTTTACCAAGCTGCAGCAGTTGACTGTTAGCCAACAGAGATGTAACAGGCTGAGAAATCAAAGTCTCTGGCATTTGTTGATGAACTGGTTCCTCATGCTTCTGTTCCTCAATCTGTTTTTCTTCAAGCACCTTTTGATGTTCAGTTAATTTCTTAGCACTTGGATCAACCCCAACATCATCAAAAAGAGAGTCATCCTCAGGGTCATAAGCTACATCATCCATCACAGGGGTGACCTCTGCTTGCTTAACTGCAGCAGATACTTTGGTTATATCATGGGTATTTTCTGTACCATAGCCAACAGCTGGGTCATATTCTTCCTCAGGATCATACGGTCTATCATCCTGTACTTCTACCTCTTTACCCTTGGTTATTGCAAACTGCTGTACAATTGGATCTAACAGGGACACAGAAGGCAAAGCGACATCTACAGCACTTTGATCTGAAGGTGATAACGAGACATCAGAATCCTGCTTCTTCTGACCAAAAAGTGTTTTCAGGATAGTCTGAAGTGGTGTGGAAGAAGCTGTAGATGCTGCTGAGACATTGGAGGATGGAGAATTGCTGCCTGTGCTAGTGCTGACACCAGGTGCTTTCACAGAGGACAGTATCGAAAACACAGATGAGACAGAACTTGAAGACTCTGAGGCACTGAGGGGTGGAGGGGTGCCTGGGGGAGTTGTGCTTATGGCATCCAGACTAGATCGAAGAACTTTGTCCGGTTTTATTTCAGATTTACCAGTAGTGGATGGTTTTGGGAGGCCTGTTTCATCATCTCTTAGAGTTTTAGAACGTTTTTCCTCATTCTCTAGAGGGGCTCCAGGACGCTTCTTGTCCTTCTGGCATATTAACAACCCCAGGAGGAGATTGGGACGAGCTGGTTCCAGCCCTGCAAAAAAAAAAAAAAAAAACGAACCATCATTTCACAAATAATGATCTACATATTATTCTAATACATACTATAACACCTACATAATGGGTAAGAAATATACATTAGGAGAGCTTGTTCCACATTATATACAACAGACTGGTAACTAAAATCTTACCAACACACAATTTTTTTTTTGTATTTATGTGCCAACCAAATTACCCTCATAATGTACACATTTAACGAGCAAACAATCATTTAATATTGGCAAACTAGATTACCACAAAAGACTTGTTATTTTAAGCATAAATGTTCCCTTACACACCATAAAACCGCTTAATTATATAAAGTTCTAGATATAGCAGCATTTAATTAATGACAACACTACTCATGTTTGTTCCTCTAGCAAACCTATGGCAATAATTTCAATAATGTAAATTTTATGCAACAATATTATATAATAATATTCAGCAAAGTTATATTACATTTTTAGTTTTTAAGTTATTTAACATTTTTAAGCACTTGTTCTTACAATGAAAAATGAACCTGAAAAAATAAGGCTAGGACATATATCTCATGATATATGTTATTAGACAGTCTTCAAATACATGACAACTTGTAGACAAAAATAAGACAAGTCACAAATAAGTATACAAACAACTTTGTCTTGAACAAGCTCGTATTGTACTGTAGCACATTTGACATGGCCATGGTTTGTTTTCCTTTTTTTAAATTGTGGAACAGCTTTCCATTCACAGAATAGAGAGTTAAATACAAACAGACTTAAATAATCATACTTACCTGATGTTAACGTCAAAAATTGCTTTTTTTTTGTCTGGGGAAAACACTAAGATGATTCTTTAAAGAGACTTTATAATATCTTTGTATATGCTTACCTGGTCCATCAAATGGCAGAAGCTTCGCAGGAAGTGGGTCTTTTGAGCTCAGAGGGATGAGGTAAAGGTCTTTAATGCGCTTGTTGCTGTTTGCCACTACTCCAAACCGCTTACGGCTACTGAAATAAGAAAACAGAGACACATACGCCACCTCCTCCTCTTCAGTTGCTGGATGGAAACGAATGAGACTGAGTTCCTGAAAAAAAGAACATTTAAGCATTAGAAAACAGCAATCAGATGAATGAAGTACAGTTTATACTGGTTTGATTTTATAAGTTTTGAATCTGATTCTAGTGCATATGAAATGTTTTTTCTTTTCATACTTTTGACAGTGAAGTCTTCAACTTTCCCACATAATCCCATACAGTGTGTGGTGATATTCTACCACCAATATGAATAGTGTCAGGCAAGTCCTGCAAATAAAATAAAAACAGTTGTTAAAATGAAACCGTAATATGAACCCAACATTCTAATATTAAGACCTTTTAAGAAAATACTTGCAAAACAAACCTCTTTAATATGCTCAAATGATCCTGACACCAAGTAGGCTTTCGTGACAAACTTGGCAACAGAGTGCATGTTTATGAATCCTTTCCACATCATCTCTTGTCCAGACAAGAACAAAGCGGTTTCACCCTCAGGAGGGGGCTCTGACATACTGAAAAAATTTTTTTTACAAATATTGCTACATATTAAGGCAGGAAGACATTTTACATTAAATACAATTATATATATTTTCAATTCAATCCTGCACCTGGTAGTACTGGACCCATAAGAGGCCGTTTTTAGGATCACAGGTCTGGGTATAGATGCTGGGGCAGGAGGGGGCATAGGCAAAGGACCCTTTGCTTCTACAGCCACTGGTTCAACAGAGATAGGAATATTTGCTGGCATAGCAGGAACAACAACATCAGGAACTATCTGGGGCACAGATGAACGGTGACCAGCAGTACGAGGATCCCGTCGAGTTATTGTAACAGAAGAGACTGCAGGTACAGCAGCAGTGACTGGGGCCTGAACCACAGGAAATACACTGCTTGGATCCTCCATTACAGCTGCAGAATCAGGCATGGGCGTCTCAGGACCAGAAAGAGAGGAAACTTGAGGGAGATCAGCAGGAGATTTGGATGGTCTTGACTCTGATTTAGACTTAAAAGAGTGCTCTGGCTTTTTAGGTGCAGACATTTTGTTTTTTTTAGATGGTGGTTCATCATCTGCCAACTTCTGGCCTGAAAAATGAGCAACATGTAATTTAATTATTTAGCTATTAGAAAAATCATAGGTGTATGTACAACCAGTAAAAGCCACTTTCCAACAGGTCTTAAGGGTATGTGGCTTTTTATTGTGGTAATAAAGTCCCACCTGTACAGATCTTGCAGTTCAGGTCAAAGAGATGAGCCCTGTGCTCTGCTGTAGTGTCTTTCAGCATACTACTAAAGATATCTGGCATTGAACTGCCTTTCCCAGTAGAGACTGGGGCTTGTGACGCAGAAGTAGGCCGTGCATCCTCCTGGGAGTCCTGCTCAAAAAACAACATTGGACAAACATAGAAGGAAAGGATCAATAAACAATCTTTTAATAACTTTAGAATCCTATTCTCATCCATTTATGCATACATGTTTATTTGCACCCATGTAAAAGAAAAAAACATTAAGATGAGAAAGGTGGCAGGTATGAGAACAAATTCAGCAAGTCACTTTGGGAAACTGAAATGACAGTGATACAGATACAAAGGTGTGTGGAAGATTAGACAGATCCGGAAAGCAAGAAAGCCAGAACTTACAGCAGCAGAAGCCAAGTGGGGAGACTGGGAAGTGGCAGGCATACATACATCTCCATCAGACATAGGAGGAGCCTCCTCCATGTCCACATCTGGGGGAGCACCCTCCTGTCTAGATCCACTTTTGGGCTGTCCTGACTGGGATCTCCCACTCATATCCAGACTCTTTAAGAATAAGTACATAATTTAATCAAACAGTACGAGCATAGTATCACAGCACCACAGTTATCGGAGTTTAAACAAAAAATTTCCAACTTGTTTTACCTCAGAGATCTCAGATTTTCTCCAGTCTGACATCTCCCTGGAAAGAAGTTCTTCTGGACTCAGTCTCACCAGCCTGAAAGGACTGATCTCGCCACCAACCACGCGATAGAACAGGCCCTGCCACACAAATAAGTAAAATAATACATCTCTCTGCATTGTTAGATCTCATAAAGCTACTAAAATGCACATTTCAGTACAATATAATGGTCTCTGACATAAACATACAGTGACTAACCTTGTTTTTGGGGTCCTTTAGATTGAACATAAGGGACCTGTACTTGTTCTTGTACTTGTTATCAGTGTTCATATAAAGGTTAAACATCTCTTTCTCAATGCCGACAGCCAACTTTCCCACTTCGTTCTCAGACATTGAGAGATCATCACTGTCACTGACCCTGTGGCACAATGATGAATTTAAATTCATATTTCAGTTCAAATAAAAATCATTTTAGATTTCAATTGCACGATTTTGAAGAATGTATAAAATGCAAAAAAAAAATCAAATTCATCTTTATTAATTTCCATTTTAATGTGTATTTATTTTTACCATAAAGTTTGATATTAAAAGATACCATATTGCTTCATGAAAAAAATTAGCAAACCAAAGTAAATGCAATACCTCTTAAAACATCTCTCACCTTTTATACAAGATATCAGTCAGTGATCGTCTGATGTTGGATCTCATCTGGTTGTTGGGTGGTGGATGTGGAGGAGCAGCAGCTGCGATGGGTTGGGTTGGTTTAGGTGCTGAGTGCTGGATGGATGGCCCTGGTGAAGGTGGGGTTCTAGTGGTGGGAGAGGGACCAGGCTCTGCAGAGTCCTTTTGCCCTGCCTGTGGCTGCTTTTTTGGGATAGTAAAGGTGCTCTTACCCACGCGGAGAGCTCCAGTGGCATGGTGGCGAGATCCGGGGAGGCCTGAAGGTGATAAAACCGGAATTGGTGGTGGGGGAGGTCCTGGCTTTTTTGATTTGCCCTGTATGGGTATGGGCTGTTTCCTTAACTCTCTTCCACTGTTCAAAGGTGCTGCAGTTGTTTTGGCTTTGGGAAGAGGCGAGGTGGCAGCAGCTGCCTTCGTACCCTTGTAGCCAGGAGACTTCTTCCCTCCTTTGGGAGCAACATTTGATGCAGGAGGTTTCTTGTCAGCGGAAGCGGTTTCCTTCTCTGGCTTGACTTCCTCGTTGTCCTCCTTTTCTTTGTCTTTTTGGGCAGCTGCTGGGAAAACAGAAGGAATAAACTGATTTATGAACACAGAAATTAAATAGCAAATCTAACCCAAGTACAAAGAATAAAATGTTACAATTCACAATATGAATTTGAAGTATTGTGAAATGCTCAATTGTAGACTAGTGCCTTGCCTTGACTGTAGTAACTTTCTCAAGTTACTGAATATGAAGACCATCATTACCAGTTAAATAGGCTCAAAGAAACAAACAAGAAAATGTTTAACATGTAAGCTTTATTTAAGAAAATATTGTCTTAAAATCATATTCAAGCCAGTACCTAAGGCTACTTGACTCACAGACCAGTCAGCTGTATTTGCATCCATATTACTCAATATTATTCATTAAACAATTTATTAATCACAACAATCACTGTGTGACAAGTGACTTAGTATAAATATTTTACCAACTAACTGGAGCAGCTATTAGTAAAATATTAAAGTAAATTAAAATAATGTTAAAAATATAAGGAGAATGTGAAGGGTTCGTAGCGCAAACCTTTCAGTTATTAAGTGAGGGCTCGATTTTGGAGGCAAAATTAGATTGACTACTGCCTTGTTTTCATTATTTTGTCAGGATATACATCTCTAACCCAATTAAATCCCTTGGGGAAAAGTCTGAAAAAAAAAATATTAAAATGCTGATAGTACTGTCAACAAGCAACAATATAGCACATTAGGTATACAGGTGCATCTCAATAAATTAGAATGTCGTGGAAAAGTTCATTTATTTCAGTAATTCAACTCAAATTGTGAAACTTGTGTATTAAATAAATTCAATGCACACAGACTGAAGTAGTTTAAGTCTTTGGTTCTTTTAATTGTGATGATTTTGGCTCACATTTAACAAAAACCCACCAACTCACTATCTCAACAAATTAGAATACTCCATAAGACCAATAAAAAAAAGTATAAATATTTTACCAACTAACTGGAGCAGCTATTAGTAAAATATTAAAGTAAATTAAAATAATGTTAAAAATATAAGGAGAATGTGAAGGGTTCGTAGCGCAAACCTTTCGGTTATTAAGTGAGGGCTCGATTTTGGAGGCAAAATTAGATTGACTACTGCCTTGCTTGTTTTCATTTGTCAGGATATACATCTCTAACCCAATTAAATCCCTTGGGGAAAAGTCTGAAAAAAAATATATTAAAATGCTGATAGTACTGTCAACAAGCAACAATATAGCACATTAGGTATACAGGCGCATCTCAATAAATTAGAATGTCGTGGAAAAGTTCATTAATTTCAGTAATTCAACTCAAATTGTGAAACTCGTGTATTAAATAAATTCAATGCACACAGACTGAAGTAGTTTAAGTCTTTGGTTCTTTTAATTGTGATGATTTTGGCTCACATTTAACAAAAACCCACCAATTCACTATCTCAAAAAATTAGAATATGGGTACACTAAGCTCTAATCTGTTCAGATTTAAATATTAAATAAGACCAGCGTATCAGCATTGGTCTACATTCTGTGTGTATGTTTAAACACAGCTTGACTTTTCCCCGTGTGCTGCAATTATGAGGATTGTGAATTCTGCTGTGGTCTGCAGTGGGGTGACATGACGTCCTCAGCTGTTCTTCATTACGGTTCCTCATTACTTCAGCTCACTCTCTGGGCTCTTGGACTTTTCTGAAAGGTCACAGTTCTTCTCTCAGGCCGGCTCCAACGACTGTAGGCTTCTTTTTGTAAATCATTGAGAGACATTTAGCGGATGGCTGACAAAAACCAAAAACAGGCAGAAGTCATGCCATCCCATGTTGTCATCCAATAAACAGACTTCTCTCACAATTGAAGCACAGGGCCAGAAGAGTATTATCCGCAATTTCACTTTATTTTGAATGCCACTTTGTCCAATGAGGATTTATAAATGCAGTGCATGCAAGTCAAAGGAATATCAAATTAAAAACTGTTAGTTAAAATGTTACATGACTTAATTTATAACAGCAACGTAGTCAAACGTCCATGTGATCAAAGTTGTTCTATTCTTAGTCGGGGAAGGAGGGCAGGAGAAAAAGACACCAAACCTACCTGATCAGCCGTGCAGTCAGTACATCTTCTCGGATGAAGCTTTTGCCCCGATGGTGTTACAAGGTGCCTATGAATAATACCTTATTTGGTGATTTATTTGAGGTCTTTTTCTGTGCCTTGGGCCTGACCCTCTCTTTCTGTTTGGAGCCTTTTCCATCCGTGGTGATGGTCTTCATGGCAGCAGCGGCGTGTCTGAGTATGCAGTCGTTCCCACAGTAGACGGAGTCAGGGAGTGCATCTCTCTCACAGCCAGGGCCAATGCACTTTGGAAGGGAAGATCCTTTGACTGCAGTCACCTGCTGAAAACTCAGGGATGTCAAACCGCTGTGGCCATTAGATTACAGCAACAGATCTACACCTTATGTACTGTATATTGCTTCCTTTTATTTAAAAGAATGGCAAGCAGAACAGTAGGCATTTTTGCACTATCAACTTTAAAAACAGTAATATGCTACAGTCACGTTACCTTATCAAATGTCATCCAGGAGAAAATGTCTTAATTTTGTGGCCTGATCAAATAAGATTTCGGCTAATACTACTTCCAATGTCATCCATGGCACTGCACTGGGGAATCCAGTATTCAAATGCAGAAAGATGTGTTCTATACGGCACATTGTAGTGACACTAGTAGCGTATCTACGTTTTCTACAAATACAGAAAATTCACAAGTCCACAGTATGTATATTATATACTGCAGCATTAGCAAGAGTAGTATGCTAATCCAAATAGTCAGACTCTTGACTTTACAAGGTTCTCATCTGCTGAAAAATCAATTACTTTGAACATGGATTTTTTGGGAACTCTGCTTCACCAAGGACAAATGCAGTACAATTTAACAATTCAAACAAAAGAAAGGAATTGAGTGACTCTTGTAAACATAAAAACACCCAATAATGACATGAAACCCAATAAAAACATTTTACATGCTTTAAAATGAAACTAAAAAGTAGGGTTGCACGATTAATCAAATGCGATTGTCATGCGCATCGTCAGTAAAGCCGGTTCTGTAATCAGTAGTAAATCTCCATCACGTGCTTTCAGATGGAGCAGCATTTAGTACACAGAGCCGTAGTTCACTGACAAGCTACACAAAATCGCATTCATAACCGCAGACAATTTAATCGCGCGATAATGAAATCGAAGAAATTTTTCTGCAATTATGAAAGCTGTTTGCGTAGCTTGTCAGTGAACTACAGCTCTGTGTAGTAAATGCTGTTCCATCTGAAAGCACATGAAAATACCACATTTAAAAACATGTTTTTACTCCAAAATCACTGCATAATGTCAGTTGAGTGTTTGAAATAAATCCTTCTGTGAGATGATGTGGCTTCTTACACAGAATAAGGCACGCAACATATTTCATAGTATTCTAAGCAGTGATAAAGGCTATGTTGATTAGCATTGCATTATTATATACTTTATTATAATAAATATTATAAATAATATAACTCAGATAAACCATATATTGTTGTTAAATCTTCTGTTTATTCAGCAACCTCTATAGGGATTTCCTGATTTCTTCTGCAAGGCGTATTTGGAGTTTCCGCGCGAGAGCGCCCTCTGGCCTTCGGATGGAGATTTACTACTGATCACAGAACCGTGCTTCCCTGAAAGATAGGCATGACAATAGCAGCTTCTGCCTAATCACGATTTTTATCACCTTTGCGATTTAATTTCGAATTATCGTGCAGCCCTACTAAAAAGCATGGTTCTCAGATATTATTACTACCAAAAATTATGACAACTCCTTCTGATATTTGCCTAACATTAGCCAAATTATTAGTGGTCAAAACAGATAATCATAATAATACTGTACAATAAAACATTGTAAAAACACCAAAATATGACAGCCTTAAAATTAGCAGCCAATTAATGCCCATCAAATTTGAAAGTTAAAAGGAAAAAAAAGGTAATCAAATATGAATAATCTGAATCAGATATTGATGTTGTAATTTAAGTTACATTAAAATCAAATTAAGCATCCAAGCAATGTGTCACTGACAATAAAATAATCCTAAATAAGGTAATCCTATAAGAAAAGCTGTCAAAATTCACGCACGGAGGCACAGCGTCAAAAACTGAATCCAGAACCAACAGGATGATTTCCTCAATCCCATGAAATTACATGTAAACAAGATTGCAGTATTCAAACTTGTTTCATACAGAGACATACCGGCTGGAAAATCTTTATTTTCTTTTTTCCACTAGGATTGGTAGCCTTCTCGATCCTGCCCTTGATGCCCAGGTCATCAGAAGTTTTCTCCTCTGTGGTGGCTGCAGCAGTGCTAGATGGTGTAGCAAGACCGGTCTCACTTTTACGAAGGCCAGCTGCTGGCCGTTTGCCATTCTCTGCAGCTGCTGTGGAGGAACCAGCCTTGGAAAACTGTCCCTTCTGTGTGTAGCAGTTTGGACAGACATAGTCCTCTCCGTTTCTCTCCATCAGTCGGCCACGTGCCTCAGAGATGCCAACGCAGTTGCCATGAAACCACTCCTCACAGCGATCACAGCAGATCATAAACCTATGCACAAGGATTTAAACAATAACCAAACACCCACAATAATCATTAAACCCACAAAAGATATAAAACTTCTGCTGACAAAAATAAAATGCAATAGACAATTTCTGCTTTGAACATAAAAACTTTTTGCATAGCGCCTGATGAGGACAATATAACATTCACCACGCATTGAACTGACAATTATAACAAAGATTACGAATGTACCCATTTGGAACTGTTTTATCAAAACCAATACTCAATTTCACATTTTAACTCATTCATCATAGGATTAAAACCCTTTCTAGCTAATTAATGAAAACAAATAAGCTTAGAGTCTGAATCCTCACTGCTGATATATTATGAAACGAAGTCATAAAAGAAATCAACAAAAACAATGCAATTCAAAAAGCATAGATCATTGGAAATGTCTGTATACTACAATGCAGCACACATGTGCTTCACTCACAGATTGAACTATATTTACCGTGTGAAAACTCTCAGATGCACAAGTTAATCAAAAAGAGATGTCATTGTTGTCATATTCACACTTATGTTTCATGATTTATGGAAAATGGTAGTTACTTACAGCAGATTCAGATTAAATTGAGCCCAAACACAATGTAACCTGGTGCAGATCTTAAAATAATCCTCACAGAGCATCATACAGCTAAAAATACTTTATCTTTCCAAGTCACACTTACACTCACATAAGCCAGTTCTATCAAACCTTTACAATTAATCCAGAATGCGGCAGCATCTAACTCTAGCACTCTCTATTCTAATTCTATTCTTAACAAAACAAAAAACACTTGTCCCTTTTAGACTTGCACTATTTGCTGCTTGTTTTCTTAAAAAAAAAAAATAATAATAATCTTTTTGTATTCTATCTGTTTTCTTTTCATTTATTATACAATTAACA